AAAATCAATCATTCTCTCACTGAACACATAAATAAGAATACCAGGTGACAATTTTATTCACAAATAAAAAAGGTATTACAAAACTAAGAATATGATAATTTACACATTTATAAATTCCAGTATGCAAAATAGCAATGATGAAATATACATTGATTTAAGCTATTTTAAAGCAAGGATGACTTTCCTTTTTTTTTTTTTTTTTTTACCAACACAGACAATAGTGCTTAACCTAGGTAATAGCAACATTAACACTTTATCTAAAGTAGAAAAATCTCTATTTAAAAATATATTCCATATACACAAAATGAGAAAATGCATGACCATACTTGGTTGCTCCTGAAATCCTCCTCATTCTTGTCAACGAGCTTCTGCAGTCCGAGAAGCCACAGTGGTTATGCCCATTCAGCCACACGCATTACCCGACCAGCCTTCCTGACGTCGGCACTCTAGCAGCTGAGTTTATTGAGTGCTATGGGATAATTCCAACAAAGTGAAGTGTAAATTGGATTTTTTTCTCAAATGTTGACAAAGTGTAAAATATCACATTGTTGCATATTGCTAGAGCGGTAGGGTAAAATGTCTTCATCTTGATACAAGTTACACAGGATTTATCACATTCAGTAGCAAATGAAATCCATTTTCAACCCTAAGCAGTTCTCTGCTGATTGCAAATGATGTTTTGGGATTTTTGGCCAAAATCTCATTCCCATCAGTCTGGCTTTCTCCAGCCAGTGTTTGTCCTTGAAGTTAATCAGGGTTCTACATGTGGAAAATATATACAGGCTACACAAAGGAACACAGCCCTGCCCACTTTCATCATCTCTCTGTCATAACAGAAAGGACCAGATGGCAAATAGTGGCACGTATGTGAATCATGGTGAGGTCACGCGAGGAAACTCTACTTGCATTTTCACAGCCATTGTGTGGTCAAATCCTAAATATTTTACATGTCCAAAAGGCAATTTTCCTAAGAGTTCATACTACCAAAGGATCATTGGTTTATACTTAAAAAAAAAAAGTAATCCAGGAAAAAATCAATCAATTATGACTAGGCACTAGGCTGACATGACAGCTTGGGGGCTACAGTGAAACACTCATTTCCTATTTCAGGTGAGGGAATTGAGGTCACGAGATGTACCAGACACAGGCAAGCTAGTGAACACATACCAAAACCTGAAACTATGGAGAAAAGGCCACAAGAAAAAGGACTCATTAAATGTTACTAATCTTTCACAAAGAGAGAAAACCGTGGGTAATACATGAGAAGATAAAAATATCCTAGGAAAGACACATTTTAATATTCAGTTTAAATGTTAAAAGACAGTGACTTGGACAGGGCAATTCCAAACCAAAATATTGTAGCGCACTCGAACATACTGATGTTCAAAAGTCTAAAAAAATGCCCTGTTCAAGTAAGTCTTCTCCAGGGCATAAAGAGTAAGAGCAAATGAACCATTCGCTGCTTTGTGACTGAACGGGGTTCATTTCTGTCTTAACTCTAGAGACGATGCTAGTGTGTAGATGGTAGGGGATAGAGCACCTTAATAGAAAGAAACTCCATCCTCTTAAATCCAACACCGGATGGCTGAAGTAGGAGATGATGTGCTAACTAACTAATCTTACACGATCAGAAGGAGCACGACAATGTCCTGGTCAAACTACACTAGGGCAGTTACAGCTGCTTCATCTAAACCCCTACAAATGGAGCATTTTCTTCTAGTCCTAACGTGTGGTGTGTTCTCATGGAAGACTATTGCAGTAGTAGGGGAAGCTGCTATGCTGTAATTTCTAAAGCCTTTAGTATAAGATACAATGCCAGTAAAAGGTCATTTATGTTTATAAATACCCTTTTTCTATAATCTTCTAAGCTCAGGCAGAGGGACAGATGCAACAAATGTTTCTATATCAACTGATTTTCATATACATATGCCAGCCTTTGCATACAAGTCTCCACAATATGTGTTAATTCTGGGCAATGGGCTGCCCTTTCTCAGCCACATTCCCTGGCCCTGGTGTGCTCCTGAGATCAGCACCAGCGGGTGTTTATGAGACCGAGGCTGAAGTGTGGATTCCGGAAAGAGCTATCCTCCTCTGTCTGATTCCTCTGATTCAGTTGACTTCATCTAATAAACCCAAGATTTAGGCAGGCAATATGAAGGCCATTCTAACCACCTACGCGACTCAGTTTAGATGATGAAAAAGTGTCCTTCTCAAATAGAAACACTCACTTTTGAACCCATTCTACATAAAAGCTAAGGTAATTTATCTGACATTTCACAGGCGGTATGAAATTATTTCTGGAAAGAAAAAGTATACTCTGGGTCTTCAGTCTTGTAAAACCACAATCACCATGAAAATAAGCATGAAGGCATTTCTGTTTCTTGTTATATGTCCACAATCTCATAGGCTGCCAACTCAACCCATCCTTCTTTGAAGTCACTTTTGTGGCAGAGAAGCTCCTTATGTAGGAAAGATGCAGAGTATCATGAGTCGGCCTGGAGTCTTTTCTTGTTATTCATTGAGGTTTCAGCTTACAGCTGGTTTGGCTCAGAAGCAACTGGCTGAAAGGCTTCAAATGCCGTCAGTTTGGTTCAGATTTATTTTTGCCCCAGAAGCCATGTAAGGTCCAGACTGCTCAGTCCATAAGCCTAACAAAGGAGTACTCTTTGGGTTCCAGCACACACTTCTACTGCAGAAAGCAGCAGGTCCTTTAAGATTCCTAAAACAGCAACAGAAAGGAAGCTTTAGAGACAATGTCTTATAAATTAAATCTGCTAAATTTCAATGGTAAAGAATTATTATGCATAACTTTTACTAGTAGTACCCATGAATTTAATAGCACATGGACAAGAAACTCATTCAGTAGTATCCAAATATCCAGCTACCCGTGTAATCTCAGGATAAAATAAAGGTTTTCATAACAATTCATAGTCACCCAATAACTGCAGAGTACTTAAAAGACGATACTGTAACCCATAGCAATCATAATGTATTAACAAACCATTCTTCTGTGGGCTTTCAACCTTATTCAAACATTTAAAGCTTCTTTCTTCTGTACTGTGTTCCTTTCAAGCATCTGTAGGTAAATACTTTAGGATTCTGTATTTCCTTTCTTTCAAAGAACAAATATGATGAATGAATAGTGCCATTCTTTATCTGCCAACTTAGTCTTTGAATGTGAAACTTCCATTAAACTATTAGAGAACGTTCAGAAATAGTTGGGAATAAGATTTATCTTATAACAATCTCCCTAGCATACTCACAATCCTTATCGGGAAAATATCCTCAGCAAAGTATAGCCATTAGACGTGTCCTTATCACAAGGAGCACTGACCTCAATGCACGAAGGGCGCAAGTGAAATCACTGAACATTTACTTCATGTATTAACCCTTCACTAACTTACCACGAACTTGGCATTGGTGACATACCAGGTAAGTGTATGCAAAAAATTATTCCTAGGTCTAAGGAGATTATCTAGAAGTCAAATCGTAAGAAATACGTCCAATAACAGGAGATAGTTTTGTCAAATACGTTGATTAACTGACATGGTTATAATAACTATATTAACCCTTCTGTGGGAGGCAAATTATCCTCATTTTGCCAATAAGGAAAAAGTAGAGATTTCAATCGATTGAAACACTAGACCCCAGGGTCCTCTCATGTTTCCTAACCTTCTTTCTGTCTCTTCCTGTTGACATTTTAAATGTTGGATTAAAAACAACTTCAAGAAATGCTTTTCCTGTAAGTACACAGTCTGGCTTTGTTCTCTCAAATAGCTCAGCAAAAAATGTTCCAAATATCTCAGTTTTGTTCCCTTCTGGAACATTATCTGGAGAGATGTGTATAGGAAAAGCTTGATTCAAATCGAGTCATACAAACTCAAGAAGGCTCTCACACCTATTTGCTTTATCTGGAACCGTAACTATCATCAGATTATGGGTGATCTTAAATCACCCACAAGAAAACTAGTGTGTGCAAATGCAGGTTTTGGAAACAAATGCATCATGCGTTGAAATCATGGCCTCACACCACGTAAAGAGAGAAATGCTGTTTGGCCACAGCTGCTCCTTATCCACCTCCCAGATGGACACACTTTGTTTTCCTGAGCTACGAGCGCGCTCACATCGTGGAGCCAAGCTAACTGAACACGAACCTGTGGAATGGAGAAAATTAACGCGATGCCCTGTGCTTTGGTTCATCAGAGTGAGCTGCTGAAATCAAATTATTGTATTTTATGTTTTAAGAGACAGGGTCTTGCTTTGTTGCCCAGGCTGGAGTGCAGTGGCGTGATCCTAGCTCACTGCAGCCTCAAACTCCTGAGCTCAAGTCATCTTCCTGCCTCAGCCTAAAATCAAATTCTTTATGAGAAGTGAATGTGTCCTGTAGTTGGAAAATTAGCCTGTTGGGGAAAATGTGGGTTGGTTTTTTGAATTTAGATGGGGAAAAAAAAACCAAAACAAAAGCAAAACTACTTGAGTTAAACACTTGGTTGAACCTTGAAATAAAGAGGAGGACCACACCCCCAAAGGCCTGCAGTAGCTTAAGGTTCATTTGCTACATTTCACAGATTATTAAGTGCAACTGAAGTTTTTTTTTTTTTTTTCCCAGCATCTGGAAATTATTATCTCTTAAAATAGGCTCAAAATATTATTTACTATTATAGGGGAAAAATCAAAATGGTCTATATTTTAACAATTCCTTTTTAAAATTCAATGTCATACTTAGATTTATCTAAATTAATCTAACAATTATAGGACTACACATCTTGAAAAGTTAGTAAAAACCTTTCATTAATAAATTATGCTGTGCAACTTGAATGTAATATTTTCTCATCAGGTTCAGTTTAGATGTAATTGTAACTTTCTTTTCATAATGATTTGAGTTGAAAGTATATAGAAATCATGAGAACTACCCTGCATGTCTTTCAAAAGAGTTAATAAGTCATGATATGCCAATCTCACCACCTAAAGCATGTTTCTAAAATATCATGTCCATACAGCTGTGATGACAGTGCTCATACAATCCTGTCCCCACCGCACCAACATGCACAGACACAAGCAGGCAGTGAGGTGGCTCCGGGACGACCTTGTATGAAGACGTTTCCTGCCTTAGTCTCGGCAATGGACATCACAAACTTGGGAACAAGCTACAAAATTAAGGTGAGTGGTAATTGTTTCCTGACAAAATTCTGAAAAACAGTCATCAGTCAGCTGGCAGCACTGTAGCCCTAGTTCCTCAGATGGTCTAACGAGAGTCAACGGACGATGCAGTAGACGTGGCGAGGGCCCCTCATTTAGTGCTGCTGGGGGGCAGCTGGGCCCTCTGCTGCTGAGCAGGGGGGTTCCCCTGTTTCTAGCATCCTCCGATCCGTCGGTGGACGCTCTCCGCTGTGAAGGACTCGTTACATGCTCTCGGCTGCTGCGTCCTCTCTGTTCCTACGCTGTGTGGGGCACAGTCCATTCTCGAGACTTACACTCAACTAGGTTAATTCTTAAGTCTTTTCTTATTTCTTATCATAACAATTTTACTAATTATGGATGGCTCAAAAGAACAAGACCAGTGAACAGCCTTTCCTAACTCCAGGCAAAGCTCAGAGGTAGATACTTTGTATGTGTTAACTGCCTAATTTGTTTTCCCTTCATTCACTCATCTCCCTTCTCTTACTTCTCCATTCCCCCATTTTGAGAACAAAACCAATTTTTTCCCTCCAAAGCTAACAAATGTTTTCTCTATAGAATCCCCTGTAAATTCTCCAGATAATTTTTTTTTGTAGTTAAAAAAAGCAAACAAGGTGGAAAGGTGGCTTGAGCCCGGGAGGACGAGGCTGCAGTGAGCTGTGATCGCTCCACTGAGCTCCAGCCTGGGCGACAGAGAGACCCCGTTTCAAAACCCAAACACGAAAAACAGAGAACAAGTACTGCAGACTTAGATCATATGTAACTTGTGAACTGATCTTAAAAGGAACACATCAGCATTCACACTTTGACTGTGCACTAAGTCTCTGATACGATCAGGCCAGCACACAGAAGCACATGGAAGCGAGACGCCTCTGGAGCAGGCTCAGCTGCCTCCTCCGCACCCACAGCGCTGATCTGGGGCAGGGAGGGACACGCAGTGACAGCAGCGGCCTCTTTGTGGGGCAGGGTCTTGTGGGCCTGGGAGCTGGACTGTTGCTGTGACTCTGCGCTTTTACACTCAAGGCTTGACACTTTTCTTGTAGAACTTACACTAACAATACATGCGCTCCCATTTAAGGAAATGTTTACAAACATGAGGTCAAAATCAGCAAAGGCCACGTCCTCACCTGAAGAAAGCAGAGACGTGCCCGGTTACCCCAGAATCCTTTGCTGCCTCCAGTTTTGCAGCATGCAGAAAGCCCCATCTCTGCAGGTGCCACCCTCGCTCCGCCCAAACCTGATTTTAAACCCCCCGCCTGAGAGGGTCTTACGACCCGGTCTCGGGTCACAACCAACAATCAATTTCCAGCCAAATCAATCAATCTGTCAAAATAGAGTGATCCAGAAAACAATAGCAAGAGAGAGGAGGGAAAAGAGCAGCTTTAGGAGACCTAAATTCACAGAAACTTGGCAGTGAATGAAGTACATTTAAGTATTGGGCATAAGTAATAGATACATAACTATATATAACAGGAAGAAGTGAAGGTCAGGAATTGTCTGCAAGGTGCTCCCATATCCGACGCATCTCTCTCAACCAGGGAACGAGGCGGCAGGTGCTGTGCTAAGTGGTTGTACTTACCAAGAGGAATAAAAGAACGCAGCTGTACACTTTGCTCTTATATATTAGCTGTGTTAGTTTTTTAAAAAAAGACTTGAAATTTATTTTAAAACATATTCTACAACATACAAGAAATTAGGAAAGATGCAAAAAAAATCTCATGAGGTTCCCCCTAATTTTGTGCTGGGAACAGCGTTCTGGTCTAGTGTAAGTCAGTGCTATGTTCACAGGGAACCCAGTCGCTGCCTTACCTGGAGGGACGTCTGAGTGGCTGCGTGGATGACAGCGCCACTCTCCTGATCTAGCTGGCTTCTCGTAGTTGGTGCATCCTGAGTTGATGCTGGTTCTGCCAGTGTGTTGTTACATCTAGATAAATCCGCAGCGGCTGTAAAGTTTTCAGAATGAGCTTGGATTGGAACAGCCCCACCAACCAAATCTTGACTGCTATTTGAAGCCAAAGACGTTGAGCTTTCATGTTCTGGACTGAGAGAAACAATGTCTTCTCCAGTGAGTTCGGGATAAGAGTCACAAAAAGAGATGTTGTCACCACCCATGGGATTCTGCATCAGAGGCCAGGCGTCTGAAAACTCGCCACAGATGGACCGCGTGAGGGGCCCGAAGAAAGTTGGCACCATCTCCCCGGCTGGGCCTGCGTTTCTGCACACACATTCAAAAGAGCTTAAAGTCTGTGATGGGGAGAAAAACACTACTACAAAGAAGCATTTCAGCCGTAATGTTAGGTCTTCTAGATGAAATATCTAGATACTAAATCAGAATTCTAGTGTTTCCTATTGTTATAAACTTGCCTCAATACAGTAAGTCAAATTACTCCATTTACTTGAAAACTGAATTTTGACCCCTCCTTCTAATTAATATAGTTACATTTAATCCAACGTCTAAAACATGCAGTTTCCTGTTTAGACAGGAAGACAGTTTAGACAGTTTCCAACGTCTAAAACATGCAGGGTCTCATCTGAGTTTGATTGAGTGCTATTCTAAAATAATAGTCCATGGGTAAAAATTAGTTACATGTTAATTACAGATGACAGAGGTGTCAGAAATCATGGACATAAGACAAAAATAAAATTAATGAAGAGTAAAGTATAAAGAATGTTGTACTGGATACGAGTGACCTTGAGAGACCTACCTAATTCTTGCCTGATAATTGCACCCCACCAATATCCAGAACGTCATTAATATTTAAGAGGTGATGTTTCCATCGTTTCAGATGAAAATCGGTACATTAGTAGAATGCATATTTGCACAGGCGGATATGAAATGATTGATTGAAAGCACCCAGTTACCTCGCCTGAAGACTGGCCGCAGAATGCACCCCACAACCAACAGTCGCCCGGTCGGGGCTGCAGGCCTTGTCACAGCACGAGGATGGGAGCAAGTGCACCGGCCCTGGGGAAGACAGCACAGGTGTGAAGCACAGTGCCTCCCTCCGGCAGCTTTCACCTCAGTAACACTCAACACTCCTCTTGGAAACTTAGATGTTCCCCTTTGGGTGATTTTTGGGGGAAAAGGAATACAAGGTTCTCTTTTTTTCTCATCTTAAACAAATGATGAGCCACTTACCTAAGGTACCGAGAGTAGACGGACTCATACAGACAGATGAAGAAGGGGGGATGCTAGGGGGCTGGGGCAATGGGGAGACCAGGAGCTGTTGTTTCATGGAGACAGGGTTTCAGTTTGGGAGGATGAAAAATGTTCCGGAAGGTGAATGGTGGTGATGGTTGCACCTCAGTGAGAATGTACTTAACGCCAGTGAACTGCACACTTGAAAATGGTTAAGATGGTGAATTTTATGTTATGTGTATTTCACTACAATAAGAAGTGGGGAGAAGGAATAAAGCAGTCTGTGGGAGAGCACAAAACGAGACTCTTGGCCCCACTGAGGACAGGAGGAGCAGGACAACTTTTCTGCTGAGTGGCCTCCTAACACAGATGAGAGCGTGCATGTTCGAACCCTCTAACTCCATACACACAGACACATTTCTTTTTATTGCTAGCAATGTCACTTAAGGAATAAGTAGATATGTGCACACAGCTTTACAAACTGAATATACCACTGAAGCTGGATATATTTTGTGCTACAAAGATAATATAAGCTTAAAAATCTAAAATAGAGATTAGATAAGAAACTTAAAAATAAATCTTCTCAATCCTATAAGCAGAAAATAAACACTCATCTTTTTGAACAGCCTTCTTGATTTCTCACTCTGTCTATACATATATATCTCATTCTGATTTAGAACCACAAACACACTAAAGCGCGCACACACACACACAAAGACTCACACACATACACAGAGGAAGACTTGGAGAAATTATATATTTACATATATAGCTATTGAAGAAATTATACATTTACATATATAGCTATATGTTTGTGTGTATCCAAATTTTCCATGAGGAATATCTCTTTACTTTTACAAACAGGAAAAAAATTATGAAACTACAGTCTCCCTTTTAAAAAATGAATGCCAAATATTGAGATGCAATCGCAAGCCTGTGTGAAACAGGATGACTGGCCTGCCTGCATCTAAGTTTCCCTCAAAGCAAGGCCTCCGCCTGGACCATCTAAACATACAGTGCTCTGAACCCGTTGAACTCACCAGGGTTTACTGCCACTTAACAAACGAGTGTCACGCTCACCATGGGACACTTCAAAATTGTTTTAAAGCAAAAGGCACTGCCGTTCCTTGTAGAAAGGCTGATTCCAGGGAAAGTACACGACAAATCTGGGACTTCTGGTGGCAGAAAGTAAGAAAGTGCTAAAAGAATAATGCGGACCTGTCAAAATGGCACATGAGCCAGACCGAAGGGAGTTCCAAATGCCGGGCAACATGAGCATCGGAATCAACAGTGACACCAAAGGGTTGCAACCCACTGAATACAGTCCACGAGTCTAAACTCACTAAGGTATATAAATAAATAAATGGAGAAGGAAAGTTCCTTCTTACCATAGGAAGCCAACTAATAAATGTGGAAAGAATAATGGAATTAGAAAGCCAGGATTTGTTAACCATCATAGTCACGACTGATTCCAGTACGAATCATCAGGGCACGCTAAGCTACGGGGTGAAAGTTTGGGGTGTGACGGGATATTTACACAGTCTCCAAGTATCCCCTACAGGATATGTATTCATTACAAAGAGAACAGCAGACATTTTACATTGGAGAAACCTGGCAGACACCCCGTTAATGAAGTGACCAAGGTGAGCCTGACCAGGCACAGGCCAGACAGACAACCTCGCCTCCCGACCCAGGGCGCTGAGGACCTAGCATCCCCTCAGTATTTCTGATTGAATCCTGAGGAACGTCAGACAAACCCAAATTGAGTGTCGTTCTACAAAACTGTAGAATTTTGAAAAGTGCTGGCCTGTACTTTAAAAAAAAAAAAAAAAATCAATATCAT